ATTTGCCATCCTCTTTCTCTTGTAATTTTCATCTACCAATCTCTTGGGTACTCCCCAAAATTTCCTGTGCTCTCTTTTCCTTTCCATTCCTTTTTTCTTTTTTTGTCATTAATTCAAATATTTCACTTCCTGACCACAACCTACTATCTATCCTTTCAGCTTGCTCTTTTGACCAATCATCGACAACTACTCTTTAATATCATCTCTACCTCCATTCCATTGGTTCCTCCACATTCTCTGCATTGACTAGCTCTCTGCTGTCTTCACTTTCTTCCCTATTCAATTTATATTTCAATATATATTTCATTTTGGTGCTAAATAAATGCCTATTGCAGAAATGAATCCTTGATACCATCCATCATCTCCTTCAGCTCTAATATCCAACCAATTACTAAGCCCTATAAATGCACTTCTTTCCATATCCATTGCCACTAAGCAACCATCACTTCTTGCCTATACTAATTAAATTCTCCAATCCACTCTCCACCTTGCTGACAGAGGTAACTTTTCAAACTAGACATCTAATCACTCCTTTTTTTATTTAAAATCCTTCAATCATAAAGATGGTAGCATAGGTAAGCACAGTACTCGCCTCCTTCCACAACCACATCAAAATTACAACTACAGGAGCCCTCTTGGAAGGAGAAGAGAGGGAGCAAGAAAATTGAAAACCTATTTGAAAAAATAATGACATGTACTCGCCTCCTTCCACAACCACATCAAAATTACAACTAAGCTACATAACAACCATCACTCAGAACCGCCTGAAATCCGGTTGAACAGAAGTTCTACAGCTAGAGAATTAAAGAAGAAGACACACTGAGACTTTGTGTAGGGGCGGGTTTTGCATGTGGCTGTCCAGTTTTTGAAACATTATTTATTGAAGAGGCTAGGGGCCCAGTGCATGAATTCGTGTACCTTGAAAGGAACTGTGAGCTGCGAGGCTGAGTTGGGCACAGGGGTGGGTCTTGGTCCATCCTCCATGCCCCCACCTGGGCCCTCCCACTGCGGCCCCTGGTCCCCTGTCTGCAGGCAGCCAGAGTCCCAATTAAGATGAACCCAAAGAGGCCTACACCAAGATACATCATAATTAAAATGCCAAAGGTTAAAGGTAAAGAGAGAATCTTAAAAGCAAGAGAAAAGCAGTTATTACCTACAAGGGAGTGCCCATGTGACTGAGCTGATTTCTCAACAGAAACTTTGCAGGCCAGAAGGGATTAGCAGGAAATATTCAAAGTGATGAATAACAAGGACCTACAACCAAGATTATTACTCTACCCAGCAACACTATCAATTAATATTGAAGGTCAGATAAAGAGCTTCACAGACAAGAAAAAGCTAAAGGAGTTCACTTCACCAAACCAGTATTACATGAAATGGTGAAGGGTATTCTTTAAGAAGAGGAAGAAGGAGGAAGGAGAAGGGAGGAGAAAAGGGGAGGAGGAGGAGGATAAAAAATATGAACAGTAAAATGGCAATAAATATAAAAAAATAAATGAAGAAAGAATCTAGTGAACAAAATAAACTGATGAATAAAATAGAACCAGAGGCATAGAAACATGGAATAGACTGAGGAATCTCAGAGGAAATGAGGAAAGGGGCATGGGAAGAGATTAACCAAAGAACTTACATGCATACATGCATTACCCATGGACACAGACAATAGGGTGATGAAGGCCTAGGGTGGAGTGGATTCCGGGAAAAGGGGGGCAGTGGGCGGGGGGAGGACATCTGTAATACAGTACTCTCAACAATAAAGATTAAAAAGTAAATAAATAAAGCCCTCAATCATGTCCCATTGCCGTTATGACAAATAAGAAAACCACAACAGAGTCTAAAAGGTGCCGCATGCCCTAGTCTTCACCTAACTCTCCAATCCAGTCTTCACCACTCTGGCCTTTGCTCTCTGCCCTCGGCCTCTTAGCCTCCTTCCAGTTCTTCTAATACAGCATGCTTCTTTCCTCTTGTTCTCACTGTAAGGACACCTTTGTCCTCCCTTCCAATCCAACGTCTCCTAGTTAACTCCTAGTCACCCTTTCTTTTTCAGCTCAAATACCAATTCCTCAGAACTGTAACTAACCTCCCTAAGACTATATAGGTCCTCCTGTCATGTTATGTCATCCTGCTCTTTTTCTTTAAAACACTTGTTATCAGAGTTAATAAATATCTGTGTGATCATGTCTGTTTCTCCACTAGACTGTAGCTCCACAGGACAGGGACCTATTTTGCTTACCATGGACCTCTCAGAACAGTACAGAGCTGTGCTCAATAACTACTTGAAATAACCTTCTCTCCATAATGGTGGTTTGCAACCTAGGCTATGAAACTTGTTTTTAAAAATGCATGCTTGGCCCTAACCAGTTTGGCTCAGTGGATAGAGCGTCGACATGCGGAATCAAGGGTCCCAGGTTCAATTCTGGCCAAGGGCATGTACCTTGGTTGCGGGCACATACCCAGTAGGGAGTGTGCAGGAGGCAGCTGATCGATGTTTCTCTCTCATCGATGTTTCTAACTCTCTATCCCTCGCCCTTCCTCTCTGTGGAAAATCAATAAAATATATTTTAAAAAAAGAATAAAAATGCATGCTTGTACTGCATCCCCAAAAAAGATCATGATTCACTCAGCTTATAGCATATACGAAACCAGAACATTTTTTCACAAGCTCCATACATGATGTTGATGCACAATCAGGGTTGAGATCCACTGTTCTACAAAATCAGAGACTCTCAGAACTGAAAGAGACTTCTGAAATCTCAGCTCCTTTCACAGATGAGAAAACTAAGCTATTTTTACCCTACCATTTATAACAGACCATATCACTAAACTGTTCTTTCACATAGATGTCCACTTTTAATTCCTCCCTTTAGTTACCTGACAAACTAAAGTACCTTCATAATATCTCATGTTTCAACCACAATAGAAAATTACTTACAATCTACATAGACAGTATTTTAAAACACTATTCAATTATAACACCTACTGGAAGTATACAACTACTAGAGGCCCCGGTGCATGAAATTCATGCACTGGGGGGGGGGGTTGTCCCTCAGCCCGGCCTGTGCCCTCTGATAGTCCAGGAGCCCTCAGGGGATGTCCAACTGGCTCCCACCACCACAGCTGCACTCGCCAGCCTTGAGCCCAGCTTCTGGCTGAGCAGCGCTTCCCTTGTGGGAGTGCAATGACCACCAGGGAGCAGCTCCTGTGTTGAGCATCTGCCCCCTGGTGGTCAGTGCACGTCATAGTAACGAGTCATTCCAACGTTCGGTCGATTTGCATATTAGCCTTTTATTACATAGGAGGATAGTACTTTTTTTTCTACACTTTATTATAAGAAACTTCAAACTCTTGTCCTCAGTTATTTCAGGAAAAATCAACTCTAAAGTGTGTAATTTTTACTTTCCATATTGAATACTCTGAAACTAATTTTCCTTAATAAAAGTCAAAGTTATAGCAAACTTCATCTTTCAAGCACCTATAATATAAACAAAATCAAGGAATAAAGAATGCAAAAAAGGAACAGACTTTACCTTTTTCAAAAACTACAGAATCCCACTATTCTTACCCAGAATACTTAGGAGCTCAAACGTTTGAGGCCTAAGCACTTCAATTAAGTATTTTAACTTCTTGTTTTGGTTACTTCCTTAACCAAGCTAAGTGAAAATTTGCAAGGGATTTCACAGAAGAAGAAAAAAAAAGCCCCCTAAATAATCAGTGGCTCTATTCTTTCAATTGGCAAACATCTATTCAGGATCTACTAAGTGCAGGGCTCTGTAACATTGGGTCACTTGCAAAGTAGGTGCTAATCAGGGTCCAAAAGCAACCACTGATAGAGGATCAAGTGCAGCTTCTGGGAAAGATAAAGGGAGTGGGGGTTTCAAGCTTCACAACAGCACCTCAAAGGCACAGTCTAATCATTCAAGAAACTCCAGCGAGTGGGAAGGCAAGCAACTGTGCAGATGGCTCCATACTCTTTAACGTGTGTGTGTGTGTGTGTTTGTTTTTTGGACTCTCAACTACCTGGTCCTATGCTGACCTCTGTGCACGCTCTCCTTTGAACTTTTCTTCATTCACTCGCCCATTCATTCACCCACGATTTATTGTGCCAGACACCACTGTGGGATGGTGTTGGCATCAAGACCAGAAAGGCGCCTGTTTTCCTGAAGCTGCCTGGGATGAGGGCGGGGCATTCCACATACAACGTGCAGGTCAAGATACATTGTGAAAAGAATAGCGGCTACGACGAAAAACAGACTAAGTCTGAGGGAGAGACTATGTTGTATAGATATTGCTCCCCGCGCCGGGAGCGTCAGTACCACCCCGGGAGTCCCCACAGCGCTGACTAGTATCACTCTGAACAGTAAATACCACGCTCCACGGAGCCCCCACGACTACGTAAACGAGCAGTCACCTGAGACGGGCTTTTCCTCCGCCTGGCACATAAAGATGCATTCAGAACACATGAGCAAGAAGTAAATACGCAGTGCACGGACGGTGGCTGAATGAATGGACTAAACGAAAACATTTTCTACAGTCAAGGCAGCGGGAGAGATGCGCTCCCGAGGCCTAAGTAAGCCACAGGTGAGGCCTAATTCAGCCCCGGGTCGCCCAGCGCAGGAGACACCACACCCCCGCCCCCCGGGCGCCGCAACAACGGGGACAAAAATATGCCCCGCGGGCTAGGGACGCGCGTGCCGGGAGGACCGATGCAGGCCGGGCCGCGCCGCGTCACTGCCGCGAATGCCGGCGGAGGAGTTCCAGGCAAGGAGTTTGGAAGAGGGGCCGCGCTCCCCAGCTCTCCGGCCATTCTCCACCCCCAGGCCCCAAACGGATCTTTTTCCCGCCTCCCGCTTAACTCCGTCAGCGCCGGAGGGGGCGAGGCAGGAAAGGAGGCCTGCGCCGAGCTGCCGGAGCCCGGGAGAGGCCCGCAGGTGGGGACTGCTGCAGCCAGGCCGAGGGAGAGCTTACGTTTTCGGGGGAAAGACGTTCGTAGGAATACTCACCCCAACGCCTCTAGTGTGTCCAGAACGTCTCCTTCCATCGTGGGTTCGGAACCCGGCTCCGGCCCTCTCATGGTCCTCCGGGCCAAAGCTGTTCGCCGCTCTAAGGAGCCCGCCGGAAACCGGCGTTGCCGCGCCAAGGTTCCGGTCCGGATCTTGACTAGGATTGCCTGCGAGCGCCTCTGTCTGGGAGCCCAAAGGTTCCCGGTCTGGAGGCAGTCTGTACTCAGACGGCCTTATTTAAAATAATAATAGAAATAGTAATAAAAAGCGTTAGTTCTTTTCTGTGTGGAAGTCAATCTTAGCAAGCATCGCGATTCCACCCGAGTTTTTCTCAATCTATCAGACTCCCAACCCTCTCTTTTTATAATAAAAATCCCGAAGTAGAATAATAATTATCTTGAGCTAAAATTAGTAGGTAATATCACGTATCTACACATATAATTTTTACATCATTATACACGGCAATGCTCCAAGTTTAAGAAATAAGGGGCAGCTAACTTATACTTATATTGTTTTATTAAAAAATGTGCAAGATCGATGAAGCTATCAGATGTTTGCTTCTATCTGCAGAATCTTTTTTTTTCTATCTGCAGAATCTTATACACAATATGTGTCCTATTGCTGATAAAGTATAGGTGATTGTATAAAAGACATTAATGAAAGTTGCATGTTGCCATCTTAGAGTATTCACTAAAAGAATAATCAAATGTAAAACTTATAACTAACAACTAAGAGAAGGGGAAAACAGAATAATGAAAAAAAAACAAACCATAAGACTAAATCTAAAAGCAGGAAAAAAAGAAAATAAGTTAAACCATAAGATAGTGGGTAGAAATATTAACATCAGAAAAATAGCTGCGAATGCAGAAAGCATCAGAGAGACATAAAGAGGGACATTTCATAACAATAAAAGTATCAAAACCACAGGAGGCTATAACAATCCTAAATGTTCATTTTCTTTAATAACCAGGCTCAAAATATAACCAAATGAACTTAAACGAGAAATATGCAAACCCAGAGAGGAAGATTTTAAGCACATCTCTAATTGCTTGATGTAACAAATAGTTTTTAAAAATCTTGGGTTGTGCAAGAGTCAGCTGATCGATGTTTCTCTCCCATTGATGTTTCTAGCTCTTTATCCCTCTCCCTTCCTCACTGTTAAAAAATCAATAAAATATATTTTTTAAAAAATCAGTGGGCGTACAAGAGACTTGAAAAACATCATTTACATATTTGACCTAATTAGTAGATCACTCCTCCCCAAACTTCAGAATATGCATTTTTCAAGTGCACATGTGTCATTTATAAAACTTGACTTCAGACTGTACCTGAAAGTAAGTCTCATCACATTTAAAGACTGAAAGCATACTAGTAAAAGGCACTTTTTGTGACTATAGTAGAATTAAACTAGGAACTGAAGCCATGACAATGAGGCCTTCAGTCTATAGGCACAAGTAAGGCAGCAGCAACTGACGCCACAAACCACTTAATAACACAAGCTATTGCTAGGGCCACGCTGGCCAGAACACAGTGCACATGTGTAGCTCTAGTCTAGATGGTGCATAAACTAAATCCAGTCAGCTCAGCCCTGCTGCATTCAGAGCCACCTGCACCCCTTATTATATCTGGGACTAAATACCCTCCTTTCTTCCCTGATAGGAGAGATACATGACCAATCTGTCAAGAGAGTGGACACTCCAACCTCCTCAAAAGCCTTTAAAATGGTCAGCAAACCAAGCTAGAGTCCTTTATGATACAGCTAGTCCAAGCTATAATGGAGGCCCATCCTCTTCCTCCTCCAGACCTATTACCTATTACCCACACTCTTGACCAGAATTTCAGTATTCTGAGTTGACAGCCATGTTTGCTGAAATTAACCATTTTTGGTCAGAAAAAGGACAAGGGTAACCAGAGATACCCCAGTAAGATCTTGGATTTCAAACAAATTCTTGCCTCCACTGTGTAGCAGCAACCTGAGATGCTCATGATAAATAGCTATGTCAGTAAAGTAACTATTCTTTGCCTGCAAGTTCACTAGTATGAAGAGCCAAGCTTGTAAAAGGATAGTTGCCACAGTCAACATCTTCCCACCCTGGAAGCCAGAGTCTCTAACCCAGCCATGGGCAAACTACGGCCCCCAGGCCGGATCCGCCCGTTTGAAATGAATAAAACTAAAAAAAAAAAAAGACCGTACCCTTTTATGTAATGATGTTTACTTTGAATTTATATTAGTTCACACAAACACTCTATCCATGCTTTTGTTCCGGCCCTGCGGTCCAGTTTAAGAACCCATTGTGGCCCTCGAGTCAAAAAGTTTACCCACCCCTGCTCTAACCCATAAGAGCCCAAAGTTTTAGAAACTGAGCACAAATTCTATAAGAGTGTCCTTAGGCAAGATGGTGAGGGAGCCAATTCTACTTGTACCCCTTAGTTCCTGGGCCCACGTTTTCTAGCTAAGGAGCACACCATTATAAATCATCTTCTGGTTCCACTCATCCTATATAAGAAAGCTAATATGCAAATGGTCCTCGTGCCTTCACTTTGTCATGCCATCATGCTTTAACTGCTCAGACGCTCAACACTGGGGAGAGAGGAATGGGGACCAGCCAGGCACAAATGAGCTCGCAAGAAAGGAATGGGGACCAGCCAGACTGGGGCCCGGGAGAAGGACAAGCTGCCTGCCCTGCAGTCCCGGGCGCCAGCAGCCCCAGGCACCAGCAGTCCCAGGCATCAGAGGTTGTGCCTGAACCTGCAGCCTGAGAGAGGGATAAGCCGCCCACCCCATAATCCTGGGTGCCAGTGGATGGGGCTGTGGCCTGGGAGAAGGACAAGCCACATGCCCCACAGTCCTAGGTGCCTGTGGCTGTGGCCCAGGTGAAGCCGCCTGCCCACGGTCCCCTGAGGCTGCGGACGGCCCGGGCGAAGCCGGCCCAGGTCCTGGGTTACTGCAGCCAGCCAGAGGGAGGGAAGCCCAGGTCCCAGGTGCCTGTGACCAGCCAGAGGAGGGAATCCTGGGTCCTGGGTATGGGGCAAGGCAGAGGCAATTAGGGGCGATCAGGCAGGCAGGTAGAGGGGTTAGGGGTGATCAGGCAGGCAGACAGGCAAGTGGTTAGGAGCCAGAGGTCCCAGATTGTGAGAGGCAGTCGGACATCCCCCGAGGGGTCCCAGATTGGAGAGGGTGCAGGCCAGGCTGAGGGACACTCCCTCCCTTCATGAATTTTGTGCACTGGGCTCTAGTATACCTATAAGGGAGATCAAACATCTAAACCTGCAGAATGTTAAGACTAAGCGCATCTTACCTGAGTCTTCAATAAACCATTATACCATTCAATCAGGACAGCTGCTTCTCATGGTAAGTAGCACCTGTAAACATTTTGCTGTTTCGCCTATTGTCTCATCATCTTTGCTATAAAATGAGTTCCTTATTTCAAAATGCTGTTATCATAGGTGACACATTCTGTGAACTCCCAATAATATGTATTGTAGTAACTATGTACGGTGTCAGATGGATACTGGACTTATTGGGGTGATCTCTTAATTTATATAAACATCTAATCACTATGTTGTACATCTGAAACTAATATATTATATGCCAACTGGAATTGGAAAATTAAAAATTTTTCTAAGTAAATTAATTGTAAAGTCATTTTAAAAAACAAAAACTGAAGGATCAGGAAAGTTGGTAGTATAATTTAGTCAGAGTCTGAAATGCAAGAACCAGGAGCTCCAATGTCTGAGGGCAGAAGATGGATGTCCCAGCTCAGGAGAGAATTTGCACCCTAGTTGGTTTGGCTCAGTTTGTTGGAGAGTCATTCCATACCTGGAGATGTTTCTCTCTCTTTCTCTTCCCCTCTCTCTAAAAAAAATCAATGAGCATGTCCTCGGGTGAGGATAAAAATAAAATGAGCGAAAGAGAGAGAATTTGCCCTTCTTTCACCTTTTTGTTCTGTTTGGGCCCTCAACAGACTAAATGATGCCCCAAACATTGTTGATATCTATCTGTACTCGTTCTACTGACTCAAATGGTAATATTTCTGGGAATATCCTCACAAACACACTGAGAAATAATGTTTTACATCTATCTGAGCATTCATCAGCACAGTCAAGATGATACATAATTTAAACATCACAGGAGCTGTGGCATGCCACTCAATAAGAAAGAGAAAGAAAACAAATGGGACTACATTAAAATAAAAAGCTTCTGCACAGCAAAAGAAACCATCAACAAAACAAGAAAGCCCCCTACATGGGAGAACATATTTGCAAATGTTATCACTGATAAAGTTTAATCTCCAACATTTACAGGGAACTCATACAACTTAATAAAAGGAAGATAAATGATCCAATAAAAAAATGGGCAACGGACCTAAATAGATACTTTTCAAAAGAAGACAGAAGGAAGGCCAAGAGACATATGAAAACATGCTCAAAGTCACTAATCATCTGAGAGATGCAAATCAAAACGACCATCTCATTCC